TTATTATTATTATTATTTAAAGGGGACCTATTATGCAAAATTCACTTTTTAAAGTTTTTTTACTCAACTTTGAGTATGTACTTCTTAAAAAAACATTCCCAGGACCAAATAAATGCACCCAGGGGCATATTTACTGTAAGTAAATGTATTTTTAATGTATATTAACGACAAGTTTTATATTTCCGTCATTCTGTTATGTCACAAGCCGTACGACAACCCACCGGAACCTGCGTTGAGCCCCTTACCTAGCAACCCCTGGGTGAGACTCCACCTCTTCAGTATAAAAAGCCGTCATGGTTGTTGTGCAATGTGCAGCTCATTTCACAACAAGTCTCCAATAGGGCAATGAGTAGAGTGTTGGACCTGAGAGCGGGAGACCAGGGTTCAAGACCGGCACGGATACAATTTAAATATTTATTTTCATTCGTTATGAACACGTTTTCTCATGTACCTCTATTGTTTAGCTTATTAAAGCCTTGTTAAAGCCTATTTGTTCGAGTTTCTGAGGTATTTTGACCGCTGCTGCTCCCTGCCCTGGTAACGGAGTGCAGAGCAGAGGAGGGGGAGAAAAAAAAGAAGCTGCGACCATGACTCTGCCTCTGGGTCTGACTCAGAGTCTCATATGGTTGTACAATGGAGCTTCTGCTATAATTAGCCATGCTAACGTAAACGCTGGCTTTGGAGGGCGGAGTTAATGTCAACAGATTTTTGGAGGGCGGAGTTAATGTCAACAGATTTTTGGAGGGCGGAGTTAATGTCAACAGATTTTTGGAGGGCGTTACCAACAGAGCTCATTAACATAAACAGCCTGAGCAGTCTGAACAGAAGTCAGAGCAGGCAGAACTAAAAAAATGGGAAATTTTATTATCTGAGAATTATTTTGTGCATTAAATTGAATGAACATGGTCTGGATAGCCCACAGACATACCATAAAAATTTCTAGGACCCATAATTGGTCTCCTTTAAGACACATGATTTTATTTTTAAACTAAACATATCATCCCTGTTGGTAATTCCTGACCTTTTGGAGCCTGTTTAACTCAAAATAGTTTGATTAGCTCTGTTCATGTGGCTCTCAGGGCTCTATCAAAGACCAGCTGAAGTCTTACGGAGCGCTGACGGAAAACGTGACACGGCGCTACACCCGGCAGATTCTGGAGGGGGTTTCCTACCTGCACAGCAACATGATCGTCCACCGGGACATTAAAGGTGAGCCGAACATCTTCTGTTCTTGGTTCGGACTAATTTACTGCAGAGGTAGACAGCGCTGAAAGTCTTCTGCACTCAGGGGCCAACATCCTGCGAGATTCTGTTGGAAATGTGAAGCTGGGAGACTTCGGGGCCAGCAGGCGGCTGCAGACCATCTGTCTGTCAGGAACAGGGATGAAGTCTGTGACAGGGACCCCATACTGGATGAGCCCAGAGGTCATCAGTGGAGAGGGGTACGGCAGGAAAGCTGACATCTGGTGAGACTTCACAGATACACCTGCTTTTAGTTAGATTCACTTCAATTGGTTTCAGTTTGACTCTGAAATTGACCAGATCTCAGACCAGTTGAAGGCCTGATTCTAGTGTTATGGCTTAGCGAGGTTATAATGTGGCTCTCACTTATTGTTAACGGGGTGGAGTGATACTGGCAATGGCCGCGCTGTAGGAGGGGGACATTGCCAGTATCACTCCACCCCCTGTTAACAATAAGTGTTAATTAGGTGTCAACGATAGCCATGTGATGTGAGTATCAGTCACATGGAGGCAGGGCTTAAAAGCCTGAATTTTGCCTGAAACTCTCAGACTGAAGAAGTCTCTTGGAGAAGAGACAAAACTTTTCATTAGAGAAGAACCCGTCCAGAAGACCTACACAAATTTTTTCTTTTTGATTTTTTACCTGGATTACTGAGATGCATCAGGACGTACCTCCCACCCGTAATTAGCATTTGGACGCGTGGGGACTGGGCATTGATCCCCACAATGCATGTTCAGTCCCCATGAGGCTGCTTTTTTTTGGGGAAAATTGTCGTCACRATGTAGGAAAAACAAGGCCACACACACACACTTTATGGATGTGGTTAAGTTTGTCATATTATACATGAATAAAAATGGTAATCTCACACCAGGATAACGGATAACTTCTCCAAGTTAAACCAGTTTTTAGTTCTTGTTTCCTCTCTGAACATCTCAGATAAGGATGATGGTGGATTTTCCCTCCTGTTTTTCTTCTCAGGAGTGTCGGTTGCACCGTTGTAGAGATGCTAACGCAGCGGCCTCCATGGGCGGAGTTTGAGGCCATGGCAGCCATCTTTAAAATTGCCACCCAGCCCACCAACCCGGTCCTGCCGGCTCATGTGTCAGACCACTGCAGAGAGTTTCTCAAACGGGTCTTTGTAGAGACCAAGCAGAGGCCATCTGCAGACGAGCTACTGAGGCACATCTTTGTACATTAACCTCAGAACTGAAGACCCACTCACCTGCAGGGCTACCAAATGAGTCTTTACCTGAACGAGTCAGCCCCGTCTCTGGGCCTGCCCCGTCCTCCTTCATGCTGAGACCACTTTGGTGCATGAGGGACCAGCTGGATGCAAGTGGGCTGTCTGTCACTGAGGACTTAATTTTTTGTTTATTTTCTCAGCTAGATGCACCTTAATTTCTGAACAGTGGCGAAGTTGAACACTTCCTCCTGAAAGTCGTTTTTTTATGTTTGTATAGTTTCTCTCTTAAAACCTTCAGGAGTGGGACGTGTATGTGTTGTGGACCTGCAGGAGCTGAGGCCCTGACCCTTCTATCTCACTGAGCTGTCTCCAGAATGTAACCTCCTGCCAAACTCCAGAGCGACTGAAGACCTGGACCTGCTGCTACAGATGAAACTGAATCACAGCGAAAGTGAAGTTTCCACTCTCCTGCCTTTGTCTGCATCTCCTCTTCGCTCCTCTTCATTCCCCACTTTTGCCTTGTGCCTTTTCTGTTTTTGAACCTGGTTTATGAACGATTCTGGACTTTTCTGTTGGCTATGTGTTGTTTTGCCTACTGGATAAACTGCCTTCACACCGTTAGCCCAAAACCAGCTGTCTTTTTATGCCTTTTCTGTAGCAGTAACTTTGGAGCTGATGTTTCTGATCCCAGATCAGCTCAGTCAGAGGGGAGCCAAACATCCCTTGGACCCAGATCGCTACTTCTGCTGAACCTTCTCAGATGAACTCTCCTCTGCTTCATGAAATGTTTAAACTGATATTTAAATTTAAACTCAGATTATGCAGAAGTGTGATGAAGTTTACATGACCCAACTTAAACATTTGGAAGATAATTTTATTTATTTAGTTGGGAATAACTGTAAAATAATAGTAAATACCTGTTATAAATCTGGTGAATTTTCTTGGACTTAACTGCTCTGAGGGAAGCAGGAAAGGAACATCTGGCAAGTGAGAAGCTTCAAACCACACTCTGATTTATTTCAAGCTTGCTTGTAGAGAGCGACGATGTTTGCCATCAAAGCAGTTTCTTTCAGTCTCCTCCTGCTCTGCTGCTGGAGTGGGTTCTTATCTGTTCTGCAACCCAGTATATGTTCATTTTCTCACCTCATACACTCCTACAGGTTAGACTTACATCTGAAGATGTTTACAGGATCTTATTTATCAGCAATTTTTGTTCCTGTCAAATTAAAAGCCTCAAATAAGCATCAGTTACAGCTGACGGCTCGATTAATTTGGGCTCGTGGTGAGCAGAGCACTGGTACTGAATGTGTTTAATAGTGGCCAATTAAAACACAAGCCTATTTGTGTTTTTTATTTATTTATTTTTTTTGTTTTAAATCTCCTTGGTAACATCTGATAGTTATATAGTTGTCACCAATCAGATCTTTTCAATCATAATTTAAAACCAGCTGATTAATAATTAAAACAGATGTATTGGATAGTTTATGCTTTTTAAAGGTGCAATCTGAACAGTTTTTCATGTTTTTGTGTCGGGAGAAGCTTGAAATGGTACAAAAACAGTTTTTTGTTCACGTATGAATTGTCTAAAGATTACTGGTAATTGTGGTATGTTTAAGCTTGTTGGTGGTCACCAGGTGACTGTAGTGTTAATAGCAGGAGGAAGTGAATTTCTGAAAGCACTTAAACTCAAGATAAAGGTTCAGATTTTGTTTATCTGAAAGATATCTGGTCAGATTGTGGAAACTGACACTGCATTTTAACAATTGTAGGCGTCCAAGCAAAAGTATAACACAGGAAGTCATTCAGATGAAATGTGTGTCAGCTTCTGATCAGACAAATTCTTAATCATGACCCATCTGCTGCAGGCAGGAGATAAAAACCTCCATGATGCACTATCAATGATTCACAGATACGCTGTTTTCTTCATTGGCTGTCACTAAAGCAGCTTGCTTAAACGTTTCTTTGCACATTTTCAAGACTTTTGTTTGTTTGTGTATGTGTGTGCGCTTGCCCCTGTGTGCACTGAAGGTCCAGTTAACCTATTCTGAATGTAATGCGTCATTTTCTCCTTCAGGTGGCCTCGTTCACCACAGTGGATGAACTCTTCAGTAACAGTATTTGTTTCCTGCTTGTAGTTCTTTTAAGCCACTGCTGCCACTGGTGTGTGTGTGTGTGTGTGTGTGTGTGTGTGTGTGTGTGTGTGTGTGTGTG